ATACCCTTTTTCACGTGCTCATTAAGTGCCAGGTGTATTAAAGAGATTGAAAACCAATTTTCTTTAATAATTAAACGATGTTCACGACCCCATCTGAAGTCACTGAAATTTGGGGTGACAGGAAAACGGCAGCGGATAGGTGTCAATATAATTTCAGTCCGAACTGTAAGAGATTGAATTCCCCCTTCGCCCCGCATGGACATCACCTCCTGAACTTTTCTTTCTGGAAATTTTACCTATAAAATCAGGAAACCCAAAGTAGCCAGCTCTGACCCCAAAAAGAAGTGTTTAATAAGAAATAGCGTTGAGCAGAGCGTGGAGGGCGCCGACAGAGAACCGCTGCCCCGCTAAGCTGTGAGCTGGTCTGTCTAGAAAGCCTTTGGCGCCCTTTAGGCTTGTACGCTTTGGACCCGTGTCCAAGGGGCAGAGGTGGGTGGTGGAGCCGGGCTAGCGGCTGCCCAGACCCGCGTAGACAGTTTCCCCTACGCTCCGTTGTTACCCGCATATCTTCCACACCTATCAGAGTTTCTGAACCTCTCTGGGAGAGGTTGGGGCGGGGAAGCCAGCGAGGGTGCGAAACACAGCGCACTTCACCTTCCTTCCATCACAATCCAAACTCTGGGCACCAGGACGGCAGGGTTCTCCCCATCCCCTGTCCTCCCCAGCTGCTCGAGCGGTTTGCTCCATCTACGGGATAGTGGGTTAGAATCATCTTCTTCTTAGCGACTTCTATTGTGTCACCGCGCCAGGGCCACAGTGTAACACGGAACGTCTCCGTAACTCTCCCTACCGCCCCGAGGCCACTGCGGTGCGCTCTCCCAGCCGCGCGCATCCAGAGGGCGTCTGATGTAGCGACCGTCCCACCAGCGCGCGTAAAAGGCGTTTGGCAGTCATCCCCCAGCTAACCTCCATCCTCACCAGCCAACGACGAATTTAGATCTTGCCTACTCGCCACCCCCCCCCCACACACACACACTCCCCTTTACACAAGGTCACTTACCAAAAGGGCAGCCACCGTCTTACATCGTGGCGGGAGCCTCGGGCGCGTTCAGCAAGGCCCCACACTTGGCTGGTCCGCGGGCCGCAGGCCCGGCACCCTCGAGGCCTGCACGAGTGCAGGGGCGCGCGCACCACCGGGGAACCAGAATTCCTCACCCGGGACTCTTCCCCAGGCCGGCCTTTGAGCGTCCGGCCCCGCGCGCCGCACAGCGCTGCACTGCGGGCCCAGCCCCGCTCTCCCCGCAGGCTTCAAACTCGTCCCTTTTTCTCGGTTACTTCAACGTCAGTGAAAAGTCACTTCCTCCGTTTTGACCCTGTGTTTCCCTATCGGGGGTCGGGAATGGGTAGAGGAGTGGTGTCGGGGTTAAAATCTTGGAGCTCTACTCTGAGCAAACAAGCTATAAACTGTCATATTAATTCTCGTGACCAGTTGATCTCGGTAATTCGAAAGAGGGTGTCCTGGGGCACTGCGAGGGCTTCTCTTGTGTCATTTCCCAAGGGGTCGCGCAGCCCCGTGCACGGGAGCATGCGAGCGCCTGACGCGCGCGCACTGGCGCGCGGAGGGGTCCTGGGTGTGCCGCCCCGCGTGCCCGCCCGCGTGCGCCGCCACCTCCTGAGGCCGCCAGAGCGCGGCGGCTGCAAGGCTCACGCCTGCGGGCCCTGCATGGGGGAAATCCCCCCACCGAAGGTTTAAATTACTTTGCTCCGCGGGAGACCCGGCTTCGGCCGCTCTCCGCTGTGGATTTGGGCGGGAAAGGCCCGAACCCGAGCTGGGGAGCCGGGTGAAGCCGGGGTTGCGGTGCGAGCGACGATGGCGCCGCCGCGTGCCTGAAATACACTTCCAAGGCCGGGGCAGCCGGAGCAGCTGTTGCCGGAGAAAATTTCCTCCGTTGCTGCTGGGGGTGAGGCGGGGGCGAGCAGCCCGCGGGCCGGGCTCTCCAGCACGGGTTTCGAGACGCTTCCTGGCCCACGGCGGCCGAGTCCCGGCGGCTTCGCTAAAAGACGCGGAATGCTGGCCCGGGTGTAAGAATGAGGGCACCTCGCAGGCCCTGAGGGCCTCGGGGGAGATTTCGGGACCACCAGGCTCGGTGGAAATTTTTGAAATACATACTGTGTGTCCTCTGAGGTGTGAGTGCCTACACCGCGCAGGCCGGGCTGGTCCCCCGCTGCCGCAGGTCGGCGCCCCAGGCTGCGGGCGCTCGGCGCCAACTAAAGCCAGCTCTATCCGGACGCGGAAAGAAAAACGGGCTGCGAAAAAGCAAAAGGCCACGTCTTTGAATAAGTGCGAAAGATTAAGTCTAACTCTTGGGTTGTCTGAGGATCCCGGGATTCTGAGGCTCGAACAGACAGGGCGGGTGGAAAACCACGGTACCAGTCAGGGAGAGGGGATTGGAAGAATGACAAATAACAGTCGCTCTAGGCGAGTGTCCTGCGTGTGTGTGTGTGTGCGCGCGCGCGCGCGCGCACGCGCGTGTTCAATCCTTCCCCAGCGCCGTGACAGTTTTGTGGGGTTTTTGTTTTTGTTTCTGTTTTGTCGTTTTGTTTTTGTTTTGTTTCTGACTTCTCATCGGCCTAGGGCGGGCGAGCCACGCTGCAGGTCCAGCCCACCTCGGTCCTACCGGGAGAGGAGAGTTAAAACAGAACTGTGAGGCCCAGCGGGCAGAGACATGGCCCTGGGCACAATGGAGCCTCCCGCGCCCCATCTCCCACCTCCCCCACCTCCCTCACCTTTAAGTGTGGCTCTGTGTGTGTTAGGGCGCTGTATTGTATACAAGAACGAAAACAAAAAAAAAGGCCAACGGGGGACCCTACGCCCTGGCCCTGCCTTCCGCCACCGCGGGGTTCATCCTGAGCGCGCAGCTCCGCCTTCTCTGCTCCCTGCGACTGCCGAGTCTCCACGCCACTGCGCCCTTTCTCTGAAAAATCTTTTCGCGTCCTACGTCCGGTTCCTAAGAACCGCTGTGGGACTCCAACTTGGAGATCTCGGGAAATCTCGGAAGATCTCGGCCCACAGCACGGCCAGGCCCGACCTGGAGCCCGGCTCCGCAGAAGGCGCCCGAGTGCTCTTAGCTACCGGCTTCTTCCTCCTCTCGGACCTTTGCCCAGAGAGACACATTTCGTTTTCTCTAATCCAAACGCCCATCCTTTCCTTTTTAAAAAACAGTAATCAAGGAAATAGGAACTGCTGCACTGCACTCTGTTATATTACGCCCTATGCTGGGTCCTCACCTCCAACCTCCACTCTACAGGAGCAGGGAACAGCATGTGGGATACCAGGTCCCCGCCTTCATGTCCCTGGACCGGTCTCTTTTCAAGCCCTCACTTTTCTCTCCTCGCTTATGGCCAAGAACGGCGGAAAGAAAACTTCGAGCCGAGTCTCAGATTATGCCCCGCGTGTTGGTCCTTTTGAACATGCGACCTTAGGCCGGTTCCGGGCGACCTGGCCTCATTCCCTAGAGAAAAGTACCCAGGGACGCGGCGTCCGACACGCGAGATTAAATAACTTCTACCTTTCCCACCATCGGGAAAGTAAAATAAACTAACGTCCCAAATCGTGAGTTGTCATGAGGCCTGAAAGAACTTCCAGCAGACTTGGGTGAAGGCACAAGCGAGATTCTGACAACAAATAAACGCCGTGAGGAAACAGGTTCTGGCCAGAGACAGGAAACACATTAGCCACGCGTTCCTTTCCGAATGGCCCACACAGGGGTCCGCGTGGACAAGCACCCGCGTCCAAATACGGGGGAAGGCTTCAGCGGGCGAAATAAATCTCCTTTTAATTTTCTTTTCATCGACTAATAAAAATAATTCCCCAGCACTAAACCCAAATACCATAACGGCCCACAAGAACACGGAGAATTCATAAAACTCTGTCTCTGCAGGTCACCCGCTAATCGCGTTATTATTAGCCTCGGGAGCATGGAAATTGAACTGTCACTGCCGAAAGAGAAAATGTAAGCGACAGCTGTCCCTCCCTGGGTCGGCCAGCTTTCCAGCCCCCAAGCTCCTGGGCCCACGGCCTCCCCCGTTCTATGAGGGCCTGCGCGCTGACCCAGGTTTACTCCCCAGCGGTCAGAAGGAGCACCCCCAGAATAGTTTCAGAAGCCCTGCCTGGAAAGTTTCCGACGCTGTGAAAGTCGCGCGTGCGTATGTTCGCGCGCCCACCTAACATTCTTCCGACAGCAGCTGTTCCCCGGGGCTGTTTTGCACAGTTGAAATCTTGGCACTTAATACAGAACGTTAAGTTGTTGTCCCCCTCCCCCCACCACGCCCCGGGATTCTGTTAAAATCGCAGACATCGACATCCGCCCTGTGTTTTACGTGTTGTGTTCGTATAATATGCACGGATCCGAGACACAAATTAATCGCACCGCTCCCCACAAATACACAGAGGTGAAGACTGGCCCGGGCCGCAGGGGAAGAGGTCTAGCGTACATTCCTCTTTCCAAAAACGAGGTAGAAATCCAATTACACTCCCTCGTCGCCGAGGAGGGGAAATTCAACAACTTGAGTCCCAGAATAGTTGGGGGGCGGGGGGAGGACCGAGGGCAGATGTTGAAACCTAAATGGGATAAACTTGGCATTTCCTTAAACTGGGGTGTCGGATCCGTCCGAGAACCGCGCGCCGGTCCCCGGGAGGTCTCAGATGCGAGTCCCAGCCCCTCTCCGCCGCGGTTGTTGCCTGCGGTCCGCACCCCTTCCAGCCAACCCCGGGGCCTGGCAGCCCCTCAGCTGCGGGCGCTAGCAGCGCCGCGCTTTGCTCCCAGAGGAGATGCGAGCGACAAGGCCTCCTTGCTGGAGGTCGGCGACGAAAAGGCACGGCTTAGGCCAGTTCCCCCAAATTGGTTCCGGCGAATTTGGAGGTGGCTCAAGGCATCTGCTCAAAGAAAGTGCAACCCGCGTTGGAGCAGGGCAGGGCGTCGGCGGCCCGGGCCTGCCTCCTCGCCACCCTGCCCGCCGGCCGGCCGCCCGCCTCCCGCGGTCTGGCCCTACGCACTCACCCGGGTGAGGCTCCAGGCCGTGCGCGGCCGCGTCCTGCGAGTCTCCGAGTGGGCCCGCGGGGCTCAGCGCCTCCATGGACAGGTCCAGCCCCTTTTCCTCCCAGTCTCGCAGTTTCCGCTTTTTATTTGAGCCGATCAAGGCTTCAACGGAGAAGGCATGTGCTCGCGAGCTCAGGGCGACTGCAGATCTTCTCCTTTCACTCATCTTAGCCGCCCGCGCCCCGGCCCCCGCTCGCCCCCGCTACTGAGGGAGCAGCCCGCGCCCTCACGCTCATAGCCGCTACACAACTGCTGTTTCTTTCTTCCAGCTCTTGGCCTGGTTTGGCTCAAAACTGAATTTAGCTTTGGTTCTCAGTTTTCAAAAGTTCACGTCCGCCGCCGGTACGGACCGGCGCCCCTCGCTGGCCCTGCGGCTACGCACGAGCGCCCGGAGCGCCGCCCGCTCGCTGCATGAGCGCCCGCGTCCTGCTTCCCACCCACCGGGGCAGGCGCTCACAGGCTGTGCAGACTGGACTTCATCTTTTTTTTATCCTCTCTCTCTCCTCCCTCTCCCTTTCTCTCCTCCCTCTCCCTCTTCCTCTCTTGGTCTTCCCGGCCTTCCTCTGATCCAAACTTCTGGGAAACTTTTTTTTTTTTTTTTTTGCCCCCCCTCCCAGCTGGGGGCAGGCGGTGCGCTCCTGTCCGTGGGCCGAGGGAGAGGGAGGGGGGAGGAAGAGAAAGACTGAGGGGGAAAAAAAGCCAGCCCCCGACCAATGGCGAGGAGGCAACAGGAGAAACCCCGAGAGCGCGGGCCAATGAGCGGAGGGGAGAGACTGAGGCTCCGGGCCGGGGCGCGGCGCGGGTCGCCCGGCGTCGCTCCGGGACCGATGTTAACCCCTGGCTTCCCGGCGCCCCGTGGGTTCCCCGTGGGGGAGGGAGAGGGGCCCCAAGGTGAGGTCTGATCTGTGCCCGTACAAACTCCTGCCAGCCTCAAATCCGTACCTTTTCCTCCCAAATATGCTAGGTCTCAAAGACGCTGCAAGCCGAGAGTCATTTCAATTACAGAGCTGGAATTTGGGGAGCTCAGACCAAATGCCAACCTGTCCAAAACGCCACGAAACGTCTCCGATAACCTCGCGCCTGCCCCCAGATGCTTTTCGATCTGCTACTTCCCCCCGGATTGCGCCGCACAGGTTCTTATTTTCTTGTTGAGCGATTGTTAAACAACCCTGGTTAACGCAAAACTCAAGAACCAACAAAAAGCCCGGTCACTCTCCGGATTCTTGTAATTCAAAATGGAAAGATCACTTCCTCCTTCCAGCTCTACCTGGTGGAGAAGGAGACGTAGGCCTCTGGAGCAGGAGGCCGCCGGTGGGGCAGCCGGCTCACCGCGCTGCCCGCGGGCGGGTCCCACCGGGCCGCACACGGCAAAGGCTCGCCTTCCCCTCGGCGCGGATGCTGAGCCGGGCTGCGCCCGTTTGGGGCGCTTGTTCAGGAGAACCCACGGAGAGGGGCTGGGCGAGGGCGGCCAGGAATTTGGACAGCGGAGAAAGAGCTTTTCCAAAATTCCCTTCAAATCTGATCACCTCGGGAGCTCGGCTCTCCCCGCCCCGCTGATCCTCCCTCTACCCTTAAAAAAAAAAAAAAATCTTTCAGGACAGTGCGGGCGCCAGAGATTTCTAAGGAACTTAAAATCCGACACTTCTGGCCGTTCTGATTTCCCACAGCCCTTCCCAGGTTTCGCTACGGGAAGCGGGCTGCAGGAGTCCCCCAGCCCAGCTCAGCGCGGAGCAAGTTCAGAGGGGCTGAGAAGTTGATCCTACCGAGCTCGGGTTTCGCGGACGACGGCCTCGCCGCAGGGTGATCTTCCATTCCCAACGCCCTGGTCGAGACGCTTCTTTCCCCGCGCGAAGGGGCAGGAAAGAGCCAGGTCCAGGGTGCGATCGACAGGCCGAGAGGCCCAGCAGACAAGCCTCGCGGAGAGCCAAGCCCTGAGCAGGGTCTGAGCCCGCAAGCCTAGGGCAGAGGGGCCCACGGCGTGTCATAGGCCCCCCCTGGAAAGAGCGCCCATCGGTCCTCCCACCCTGGGGCCAGAAGGGAGGGCCTGCGAGGCCTCTGAAAGGCCACGCTCCCCTCCTGACCGCGGAGGGGTCTGGGGAAATCTAGCCCCTGCTATTGTCGTTGAAAGTGCCCTGGTGCTGGAGGCAACAATCAAGTGCCCTCAATGTACTTGGGACTCTTTGGAGAAGAGCAAAAACGGCCACTTTTGGAGCCTCCTCAAATTGGGCGCCAGCCCAGACGAGAGGCAGTTAGCAGCGCAGCAAATGCACAGAGAATAATAGAAAAACCAGCAGCTGAATGTGGTTCAGGCAGGCTTGGCCTCCCAGGCCTTCCAGGAGCCTGAATGTCAGGCTTGGGGTTCGCCAGCAGCGCTCCATGGCCCCTGGGATCTGGAAGTGGCACGCTGAGCCCCTCAGTGTCTCCCGCCACACTGCTTAGGAAACTCTGGGAGCAGGGGTGACGCGGTACAGTGTCTCCCACCTCAGTCGCCACTCGGCATTGCTTCCAGGAGCCACTGCCGACAGTGACCACGCATTCACCACCACCTTCACCACCACCGACTTCAGCAAAAGAGAGGGAGGCCGGGGCAGCCAGGAGCAAGAAGTTACCTTCTCCAGAGGCTCACACCTCTCTTTCAGCTCCCAATTTTGGTGTCGCCGCCCGCGGCTGGAGCCTGCCAGACCAGACCCAGGGGGGAGCCACGGGGCTGGCCTCTGTCCTGTCAGTGTTCCCTCCTCGCCCGGAGCCTGCTTCTCACATCTGCCTCTGGCAGCCTCTCGCCTTGGCCTTCTCGCACAGACCTCGTTTGGATTGAGAAGCAGATGCACCATAGGCCGCACACCTTCCCTGAGGCCATGAAAGTTTCTCAAAAAGAGGACCGAGATGCAGATCCCGAAGGCCTGCACGATGAAGGCGTCCACAGACACGTGTCCCAGAGATGTACACAGAGAAGTAAGAGAAGCCTTTCAGGGCAGCCATCTGCACCCCACCCCAAAGCACGTGCTCAGCAGAGTGCTCAGAGAAGCGTCTATACCCTTCCTTCAGGTTGCACATAGGTAGTGCCCACCCCCATCCTACATACACACAAATACTAGAAAAATAGGTGAGGCCATTCAAACAAATCGGATGGCAATGGAGCCAAGGTGATTCGGATCAGTCACGAAAATAGGGGTTTTTCTCTAGGTAACTGGGAGAGGCAGAGACATTTTCTCTTTGCGACCATAGGGGTCCATCTAAGTTTTTGTCCAGGGGCATGCACTCCTTAGTGTGACCCGTGCTGATGGGAGAGACTCTCAAGAGAAAGATAAAGTTTAATGTCTGTGTCTTAGGCAAATAATTTTATGCAATTGGGGAGAAGAAGAAAAAGAGGGTTGGGGGATTCAATGTAAGAATCCGGGAGTATGGGGTGCATTTTCCTTCCACTCACTACATCAAAGGGCTTTCAAATTTCCCTCTGTTCCCCCAGTTTTTCTTTAATTTTTCTTTAATTTTCCTTTAATTTTTAGGAATAAGAGCGGGGTCACTTCATATACAAGGCTAATTCCTGAAGCAATCCCCAGGGTTCCTAGCCACGGGCTCCACCTTAGGACCTTGGTTGGCATCTGCAGGTGGTGAATCTAGTTCAGGTCCATTTCAGTCCTGAAGCTGATTGACAAGATCCAACCTAGAGGACCCACCCCCCCTACTCCCTGCAGGGTCCCCAGGGGGATAAGATTGTTAAGCACCAGAGAATTGGGGGAGGGATCTGGGAGGAGGTGAGTGGGAGAGGGGACCACCTGTACGGGAGGTGGATGCCCAGGCCTAGCCTTGAAGGAGAGGAAACACTGCTCACTTAAACCGGCCATATCCAGTTCCTTAGATTTTTCCAAGGAACAACAGAGCTCTGCAGCCTAGAGACAAGAGTCCTGGAAAGAAGCCCTTAGATCTTCCACATACCTTCATACCTATCCTTTCCTTCTGTGTCTCCACCCTAAATGCCACCCCTGATAATGCCTGACACCAAGGTGGGCCACCGCTGTGACTTTGCAGCTCTGAGTGCGGTAATTGAAAACAAAGTTGAAAATAGTTGACCAGCAGGCCTGGTAGGCTGCCCTGGAACACGTGGGCGGGACACCGTGTCGGAGCTTGGGAACTACAATGAACTGGGCCTGACCAACAGGTATGACACATTATGAGAGGTGGGGGAGAGAACCCGGGGGACAGCAAGGCAGGTGGAGGAGCCTAGCAACCAGGTCCCATTCAGCTCTAAATGGTGACCTTAGGCAAGTCAATTAATTACTGGCCGGTGCCTCAGTATTCCTGTCGGCAGGGTGAAGGGGTCCTAAATACTTTATAACCAAGCAAAGCAGGCAAGATCATCGGTGGGAGGCTGGGCAGGCCTGAGATCTTCTTATTGCTGTGATCGACTCTTCCCGGAATGTGAGGCCAACGTACCCACTTTCCACTTCTTTTCCCAAATTCGTGTCCAGTTATGGGGTTGCTTTACTGTCCTGCAGCCTTCGCGTGGGCGTGGGAGGGAGCCGATTTCTGGAAGTGCCTGGCGATGCCAGCCCCGCGGGCACAGCGCCGACTCGCTCCTGTAGACCGCATCTCCAGTCGCCAGGAGCTGCGGGCCCGTCGTGCGTCGTTGCCTGTTCAACCACCCTCTCACACTTCTAAAAAAATAAAAGTCCGTGGGGGCGAAAGGGTCTTTAATGATGTTTTTTTGTTTTCGCGAAATAAAATCTTTTGTTTTTGTTTTAAACCAGCAGCGTGCCCTCCTCTCGGTCCTTCCAGATGTTTGCAATAAAATCGCAGGTTTAGCCTTTGGGACTGGAAATAAAATTTAACGGCCTTCACTCTGTAATTATTCTCTTAGCTCGCCCTTCATAAATTTATCTGCTTTCTATCGGCGTTGGGGTAGGGGGCGAGCGAAAGGGGAGAAAGCCCCGATTTTATATTTGCGACTATAAAAAAGCGCCACCCGGTTCCCTCGCCTTCGGCGGGCCGCGGTGTAGCCTGCAGAGCCTGGCCGGGCGGGCGGCAACATTGCGCTATTGTTCGCTGACTTGGGTCTGCGCAGGAGCTGGGCTCTCCACAAAGGGGGCCTTGTGCGGCCAGGCCCCGAGCAGCCGCGCCCAGGAGGCGAGGAAATCCTGTTCCCCCAGGCCCAGCTCCTCTCCTCCCCCGGGCGTAGCGTGCAACCAGGCCGTCTGACCTTGGCCTTCAGTGTGCGCCCGCCGCG